AGCATGGAGATGGCAGATTGCTGACACGCTGTACAAGTGATGGAGCACTGAATCTCCAGAGCACTCAGCAGCTTCACAACAACAGAGCTCACTAGCTCAGGAGTGGGCTTAATGTTACATTGAGCACTTTTTAATTCCTGTAAACTCGGTGCGATGCTGAAGAATAGCACTGGAGAAAGGAAAGAAATAAAAATACAACAAAGTCATAAGTTATAAGTAGAAAGTGGCCCCGAGCAGTCCTACCACAACGCTAAAGTACGGGTAACTCTACTCCATGCACTTCAGATTGGTAATTGTCTCAATAAAAGCCTCCCGGATTGGGATCTTGTGCTCCTACAGACAGTATCTCTCATTATCTTTATAGGCGTAACATTTAAAAGCTACCATTAAAGTCTCACATTTCTTGTCTTACCCCCACAAGGCAGAGGGAACAGGTTTTCCCTTTTGTGTTTGTTGATACTCAAAACAGAGACCAAGGGAAGCGGGACACTGATTCCTTCATAATATGCTTTATCTCCCCATAATAGGAATTCACAAAGAAAAGACTTAAAAAACCCGAAACTAAACAAGAAACCCCCAAGGACACAAGGAGCACGTTTTCAGTATGCACAACTTTATTTTCTAGTTTATGGGTATAATTTTCAAATGTAGCTTTTTAAAAGTGTAAAAAAAAAATACATCTCCAAATTTGATATCTGACATGCAAAGACAGAACAGTAATACTCAAAATGCATACAAAAATACCACTTCTTCATGCTGCTGGAAAAAGATAAGCACATCCAGTTACACTACTTAAAGATACATTAATTAGTACAAAACTGTAGAGAATTATAGCTTCATTGCAAAATCCATTATTTTGGTATCCTTAATTTTGAGGGATACAGAGAAAATTAAGCACATAACCAATGAGAAAGGCATTTGAATGCATTCTTCATACTACCTCTTACTCTTCTATGCCACTGTAGGCTTTGAGAGAAATGCTGTTTTTCAGAGAAAAGTTTAATATTTTGTGCCTGTTAAATTAAGACCAACCATGCCTGGAAGAAATACACAGGCCAAGAATAAGTGCATTTTATCATATTTTATCACAATTAATCCCAGATCAGATGTCATATTTGGAAAAGAACTGGAAGACTGTTGAGTATTTAATTGCTTTTTAAATACCTGTCCAGACAAGAACTAGAGAAATTTAAAAAAATAATGTAATGACATCTCTGTTAAGTAGGAATCTGTACTCAAACTTCACATTGCAGATGTTGCCTTGAAAAAAAAAAAAAAATCACTGCTACAATTTTTTACCATCTTTTCTGTAGACGTGCAACAATTAGCTGAAAGCTCACTTACCAGGTAGATTATTTTACTTTTTACTTAAAATGTGTATCTGTTCCAGAGAAGCAGTACAGCTTCTAAAAACATGTTACTGGCCTTGTGCACTGGCAAATGTTCCAGCAGTCAGGTTAATAGGAGTTGGGGCCACAGCCTGATGGGGTCTTCAGGCCAGAAGTGCCAACCTCCTGTGACAGGCTGGCAAGGAGACAGAAGGAGGACAGGTGGGGTTAAAAGCATGAATTGTCAAATCACAGGCTGGGCTGAAGCATTAGTGCCAATAGAAATTAATGGCTCCATCTGAACAGGTGCAGAGTGGTCTGATTTGCCTCTTGAACTCTTGCTCCATTCTCAGATGGTGGAGATGCCCATCCCACGGACAAAAGGCCCATGTCCATTGTGAATACAATCCTGCTGTTTGCTGGCTTGGACTGGAGCACCAACATCACCTAAGCTCAAGTGTCTGTACTGAGAAACTTCACTGTTGTGAAGGCTGAAGTCTGTGCTGTAACAAGAGAATAGGGATTCTAATTTGGTGCCATTGGCTGAAGTTTATAGGATTTTTTTTCACTGATGTTAACAGAGTTAACTTGGATAATTTATTTAGTGTTTAGCTTTTCCATTGCTACCTGCAGCAGAAATCTGTGCAGTATGTGAGAAAATTTCTCTCATGTAATCAAGTAAGAAGAATTAAATATACTGAAGGTAATTTTCACCATTGTTAAACTTAAAGGCATTTTATACCTGGACATTTCTTACATTCAGTTTTTAACAATTTCCTCACAATGCAGAGGTTTTTCCCATTTTAAAAATAATGCAACGCTAAAAAAATCAAGGTGGCAGTCCATTTTCCATCAAAATACATTTCTTCTTCATGAAAACTAAGAACATTAGTTTAGGATTAAAGTTTTGCTATTCAAATCTTTTGTAAATTATTGCACTTGTGCATTATGAACTTTCATATGTAAAAGAACAGCAGCAGTTTGATGTAGACTATTAAAAGAAAAAATCTCTATAAAAATATAACTATTCATTAAACAAAAAATACATCTATATTCCATTAAAAGAACCCCAAATATCAATACTAGGTCACATTCTGACTTTCTTGCTTACACTCAGTATCAGCCTGTTTCACAGATTTCATTAAGTACTCAGGGACTAAGGTTTTCCTTAATTTATGTCATGATCCGCCTCTTGATGAAGATTATGTAACCTAGCCAAAATAATCTTCTGTCTGTCCTTCATTTAAGGGACAATCATTAACAGTAGTGCAAGACTTGCTACAATGGGACTAATACAGAACAAATGAACCCATATCCAAGGGTCTTTAGAAACTTTTCCTATTTAAAGTATTACTGTAGTTCAGTGCTGTTTCCTGTTCATGTGACAGTTTCACCTGTCACCTCTTTCAGTGATCTAACTACCTGCAGCAATTTAAGGAATTGCTTGAAAAAAATGATCATGGTACATTTCTCAAGGCTTGTCAGCACATATTCTCACACTAATGTTCTAGAATTCAAAGCCTTGGCCAGCAAGAACTCCAGCCCTTTCACTAGACTTTGTAGAAATATTGAACAAAAAGCTTGCCATCCAAAGATTTTGGTCTCTTCCACTCTCCTGGGCAGACCACAGAGCAGCTTTTCAGTCCCAAAACTGAGTACATCTTTCACAATAGTCTTCTGATTTTCTTTTTTATTAATATATATCATAGCAGAAAGTGCTTGCAGAATCAAGGTCCAGAATATTTCTGGGATAATGCTAGCTAAAATTTGGAGAGTTGTAGAGATCTGTATCATTCAGACAAACAATCAGGGTTTTCTTCAAGTGCAAAGATTGGTTTAATAGCAGAAAATGCTGGTCTGGGTAGTACTGGTGTGTGGATATTGCCGTGTGCTCACAGGCAGGATGGTACCAGCAGTCCTTCAGGAAGCAAGTCGGCGCATGGCCTAGAAAAATGGGTTTTGAAAGGTGGAGAGAAACAGGCTGTGGTTAGTTCTCAGTATGCAGCATCTGGGAAAATTACATGTTTGTGTAAATTAAAAACTCAGTGAAAGTACAAAGAACATCTGTAAACTGTGCAGATTGTGCAAGAAGCTGTCTGTTGTCTTAAAAGGAAGAATGAAAGATTGATCATAATTTTCCACTCTAGTGCCTCAAGTCTTACAAAGTCTTCTTTTTAGGCCCCCAGCTTGTGTTTAAATATAAGCCAGTGTAAGGCAAAAGTAATCCTAAAGCAAGAGAGATGAGGAGATACTTAAGCAGATATCATCTACTACTATCTCAAAATATCTCAAGAAAAATCTGACTTCCTCCACTTAGCACTGACATGCAGTATCCAGAGAGGGTATGTATTTATGGAGAAGGTACCTGTTGAGGGCCATACTCTCACAGCAAGACTGAAGGCTACAGGCAGAGGGATAGACACATTCAGTTCTAAAATGCATACCTCTTCCTGAACATCAAGTTCATCATCAGGCTGGCTGGCTTCTGTGAACTCTATGGGTTCTTTGGACTCCTGCATGAGTGAAATCTTGGTAGAAATAAATTAAGAAACATGATGAGTTACATGTTGTCCATATAATTGAAATTTATTTTTTTACTCTAAAGTACCTTAAAATAACTTCCACAACTTAGAACAGTCTGTTGTTTACTGTTCCTTGACAAAGATTATAATTTACTTCATCTGAGAAGAACTTATAAATTGCAGAGCCTTTGGGCCTGTCTCTGCTCACATGGCTAGTTATGGCTTTGTAAAAATAATAAAATCTATTTAAATTGCTGTATAGCATTATGAAAATATTAATGTCTACCATAAAAATTAGTATGAAGAAGTTATAAAAGAGTCCTATCCTAGTTAGTTATCAGTAATATTAATTTTAATTGCTATTTATTCATAATACTATAACAGTGATTGTAGGAAAGGAATTGTGGTGAAAAGAAAGGAGGACATTTTAGGACCATTTTCCTAATGAGGGCCTTTTAAATGCTACAGATCATAGCAAATCTTTAAATGCTACTGAGTGCTGAAAAAACAGAATACACTGACAAAATGCACAGAGAAGGGCAGGAATTAACACTAGTGTGGAACAGCTTCCATACACATCCATGCCAAGTAGAGTGAGATTAGAGCTTTGATCAGAAGTCTATGGAGTGTTGGGAATGGGAACAGGGAATGATTATTCATTGCAGCTAACAATCCAGAAGTCCAGCAGGCCTAAACCAAGCAGGAAATATTTGTCATATAATCTAAAATTAGAGAACCCATCTCCACAGTATAATGTTACAGGTTCCAAAAGAAGTATTATGACACATTGAAGAAAACTCCATCTGTAACAATTAAATATAATGTTCCAAATGCAACCTATGGCTGATGAGGTTCTTAAGATGGCAGTAGTCAGAAATTAGAAAGTGTCTCTTAGGATGAAGTGTGCTATTTCTCATGTTCTTTTCACTAACAAGCTCCTGGATCTGACAGACCCTTCCTTTGATCTACAAAAATACTCATGTACTACAGAAGCTGCCCAATTTACTATGCTCCCACTTTTTTTTGTACTGCAGTTCTAGGTCTAATTTTCAAATGTGCCACAGAAACTTCAAGAATGAGTGCTAGATGATGGAAGGAAGGGAAATGTACTGCTGGATATCCTTACCTTCTCAAATATGGGATCCTGGTTGTCACTGTATGTCATTTGATTCCGTATGTAGAGCACAGCATCATGGACAGTCAAGAAAAATATGTCTTTTCTGACAGTGTCATCAAAGAAGGCACCCCGTTCCAGCTGAGATATAAGGTTGTCTGAATAAAAGAAAGTCGTAACAAGTTTATACAGTGTGAAGTAATTTAAGAAATAAATGTTAAAATACATGGTTGCAACTGTCAGAAATTAAGTGGACAACCAAATGAATCCATCAATTATAGGTTAGTCTTGACTTTGACTTGCCGTATTTCCTTTGCACCCCACTGTTTTTTGTGTCCCAGTGGAGCCAACAATGCTTATCAGTGTTACAGTTCACATATTTATTAGTACAGATGCTACCACAGACACATCTAGAGATCCCTTCTCACCTTCGTTTTATTTTTTGCATGAATGAAAGTAAGAATACTTGGATATTTACCTTGATATGAAGCAAAGTATACTCTCACATCAATTCTCTCAAACTCTTTAATTATCTACAAAAAAAGTTTGCAACAAGGACATCAATAAATAAAGTATGTAAGGAGAAAATACATGTATGTCTGTATATCTGTGTAATGTATAGGCACATACACTTCATTTTTTTCTGCTTGTCTTCATTCCACATAGTACATTTTGTTTATTCATCGTAATTATGGTACTGCTATACTTTGCTATACTTAAAGATCCACTAGTTAAGTACCTGGTTGCTGAAGTGGCATATCTTTAACTATGTTAGTGGAATGACTAATTTTACATGCACAAGCATCGCTGCCAATTAAGGGTTCATTCTCTTCTCAAAATTTGAATAATCATCTCTCCAAGTGAGACCACGTGGGCCTGAGTGAGCTTTATTTCCCTCATGTATGTGTGATATGATACACTCATTCAGTGGCACATGCAGATTTTTTTACACAGATTGTTCCCCTCATGCAGTGCACCAGATGGACCTGTCCTTGGATGAAAAAGCTGCATATGGAGAGAGTCATGTCAACGAACCCCATATTCCCATGTAACTAGGCAGGAGGCTGATGAAAGGCACACACTGCTCTTGTGTTTCACTCAGTTAAAAGGCTGGAGACTAGAATCAACCCCTGGCTCCCTGGTGGCAGGCAAGTCTCTTAGATTAATTTTCAGAGGTGATCGTTAATTCTATTTCTATTAATTGATGAACTTGAGTCATAGTAAAGATCTGGTTTTATAGATAGGCTAAGTAGTTCCAACTGCAAAATTAAGTTAGTGAAAACATTAATCTGAACATACAAAATATCAGAAAAAAATCAAGACTGAACAATCTGGTCCTACACACTTCTAACTGGGCACCAAAAAATAATGGAAATACTTGGCCTTAATCTTTACACCTCATTTCCTTCTTCCCAGGAAGAAATATAATCTCCTTATTGTGTACTGTGAGTGTGAAGATTAGTTAATGACTGTTGATGAAGCACTTGATACTAGCCATAGAAAATACTATAAATAAATGAATCATTCTTCCTTCATAACTAAAATGAATGAATAAATGAAGGAATGATTAAATAAATCTTGTGGCTAAAAAGTGAACTGGGATGGTAAGATGAAAGTTTTACTACCTCAGTGTTGAGTAAGCATCATCCTGTGCCCAGATTAAAGCAGGAGGCATGTGGAGAGAAAATACATAACTAGAATATTTCATAACATATGCATATAAGGGGACCACATTTTGCAGTTACTTATTTTCTGTACTTGACTATGCAACCTTCATATTGTACTTCTAATGCATTTTTTCCCACTTAAAATACACACACCACCAATATTCTACTTCTTGCTGGTATTTTTCATATTTATATTTTCATGGTATTTTTCAACAACATACTTTTTAAAACTCAGAAATTAACTTCAGCTAACAGCTCTCGATTTACATACTACTGACTAGTTTCATTTTCATAGAACATCAGAAAAAAAATGCCCTTACCGTTTTTATTGATCTCACAGCTACAATATCCAAGAAAGTTACTGCTCCAAAATCAAGAATGAGACTGTGGATGGGCACCTTGGGGATGTTTACTTTGACAGGGAGTTCTGAATTCCAGTCCACCTGGATCTCTACTTCTTTGGTGGGAACTTGAAGATCCGGGTTGTCTTCAGGTTCCTCATCAGTCTCAAAAGCTTCATTATTAATACCAGGCTCACTGATAATGCCATTCTAATGCACAGATAATATATGGAATATAGAATTTAATCATGGGGAAAGTCTGGGAGTTACAGAAAATACCACCCTGTGATACCTCCTGTTGAAGGAATTGACAAGACAGACACTTGTGGCCAGTATCCTCTGCTCCCAATCCTGGTACTGTGGTTAGCATAACTAATGCCATTTTACAGGGCAAGAAGCCATTCTCTATGGCTGAGCAGGTCGTGTACTTGTTCCCTTTTCCCTCATTCTCAGGCCCTGAAGGTCCTGTGAACCTATTAGACAAACCAAACTGATTTCTTCTTCCTCTCCCTACCAGTTTCAAGGTTCCTGGGCACCAGGCTGATCTCTCCTTTCCTTGCTGGTCTTGAAGGTCCCAGGCACGTGGGCAACCAGGTGTAGTTGGTGACCCCAGCAGAGAAAAGTGTAACAGTGCACAGAGCACTGTCTGTGATAAGTCCTGTGTGGGAAATTTGGACCAAAACTGCTGCTGACAGTGAGACACTGCCATGGGCCAGGGATGCCTGCAATGTCTTTTGTTTTCTCTGAGTATTAGTGACTCAACTTCTTTCATGTAATTTTTAAGTCTAGATTATGATTGTTATATTGTTACATTAAACCATGTATTAAGATCTCACCTGATCTGCAGGGGGTCCAGGTAGTTAGAAACTCTTAAGTTAGGGTCTAGGTGATTAAAACTGTAAGTTAAGTTGTATTATAAATTCTGTATGCTACTTATAAACTGTATTACCATATAGTAAGTCACACTTTTCATCTCTATTTTAAAGATGAATACAGAGTAATTCATAATTAAAACCTTAACTAAAAAGCTCCAACAGTAATCCTTACAGAAAAAATAGATGTAAATAAGGTTTAAAAAGGCCTACCTTAGTAGCTTTTAATTTTCCCTTCTTGATTAGCTTTTGTATTTTCCTCAGTGCTTTGAGTCTCTTATTATATACCTTGACTGCATCAAATCCCACCTACAGAAAACAGACCAAAATTATTTCACTTAACTCAGGTATAATTCTAAGGGAATCTCAAGGATAGTATAGAAGCTTCCAAACCCATAACTTATCGCTTACAGTGGATTTGAGGCTGCTTTTCAGTCCATCAATGTTGGCATAAAAAATTGGACTTGAAAACTTGAGAATCTTCACACCTTCTGGTTCTATAACCTGTTGCCAAAGAATATAAGGTTAAACAGCAACAGCCATATTTTGACAATAAGAAGCAGTTTAAGTATTTCAATTGCGTATCTAATTAAAACAAACAAAAAAAAAGCATGTATTTTTTAATGATTGAGGAAATTCTGTTTTTAGAAGCTTACAGCCCCAGCATGCAAGATGGACCAACCATCTGGATGAAGAGGGTGCTGAAATTTGTTATCTTTGAAGACCCCACTTCCAAATTCAAGTTATGTACAATATGCAAGGCACAACCTTTTCTTACACAGATGTGTAGACTCAAGGAAAACAATTCAGCCATGACTTACATTTTTGTAGTCTTTGACCTTCTTGTAGATGTCTGTGCCAGGAATGTTTCCAAAGCCTCCCCATGAAGGACTAACAGAAATAAAGACAGTAAAGGAGAATGTCATACATGGGCACTCACAGAATCAAAGGGATTGCTGCATAAGAAGTGTTTTTGACTCCTGTAGTTTGCTTTCTAATGCCAAACTAACAGAATTGCAAAAGCTATTTTGCGTCACTGTAGTGAACAGGCCTTTATAAAAACAAGGTACTTTGGTCTCAGCCTACTTAATGCACCATTTTGATTTAAGAGCTGAGTGAACAACTTGTTCACTTCCCAAACCAGAAGAATATTTAAAATGCAGATTAGTTGTCTTGAAATTTAGAAAACCAATTTTTTTACACTGAAAAAAAGATTTGATGGCTTTTTTTCATTTCAAATCAACTGAAATTCATTTACATTATTTTCAGATTATGTAAATCTTTTTGTCCAACCTTCTAAATTTTTATTTTAGTCAATAACAAAACCAAAATGATTTGCAGTCTCCAGATACATATTTAACAGCCAAAGCAAATAGTTTTGAGGTTTGTAAGGCCTTATCTCCCCTTTATATTTTGGTAACATTATCTTAGTTGAATTTGGGAATGCTTTTTTGAGGCTCTTCAAATTTCATTTTATTATAATCTACTATTGTGTAACAATTTTTACAAGGCTTTATTTTAATGCATTTGCTGACAGTGCAACTATACCTTGGTAATCTAATTACAGTACTCTCTGAACTCCAAGCTGAAGAAGTCATATTGTACTTTCAAATAAAAGGTCAATGAAAAATAACAAGATGACCAAATAAGGTTTTTCAAATACACCTTTTCTCACCATTCCACTCCCATATATTCTTTAAGCAGCAATAAATCAGCCAGAAGCAAAATTTTTTTTTTTTCTTATTCTCATGCTTTATCTTGCTCTTCTTTTACAACCATACAATCAGACTTGTATAAACAATAAATGAAAGGGTTATTGGCATGTGCAATATACTGTAGTAATATTAGCTGCTGAAAGTTACTATAATGATCAATTCACTACAAAAGCCCTACATCTGTTTATATTTGATCTAGAATGTTCCTGTCCCTTTTCAGAACTCACCTATTTGGGTGCATATAAAACATGGCTAAGTACCACCAGAGTGACCAACATCATCTAAAATACTGATCAAATAATGCAGCTTCTCTTTTGTCAGTGTAATTAAATGATAGCATACAAAGAGTGTCTTATTCTAAAAGAAACAGATTTTTTTCATTTCAAAATTTTTGTATACCCAAGCAGATATTCTGCCACAAATCATCTTGCATTTCAGCATATTATCTTCCCTTTTCATAATATACAACTAAGAATTATTTCTGATACTGTATTACTTACAACTGAACTCTCAGCACAACTGTCAGCAATCCAAACAAAAGGCCAGCAAGTAATCCCAAATCAAGTCCCAGAATGATGGATGCTATACATGTAAAAACCCAGATCATCTGGAGAAGAAATAACAAATGTAAAGTATTTTAGCATATAACTTCTGGTCACACTAAAGAAACACTAGACCAGATAATATGAGAAGCATATTTTAGCTTTGAAACTGATTGTAGCACACTAGCAATCCCCTGACTTCAAGTACCCTGTCTTGACTTTTGTCCAAGACAAAAGTCTTCTTCTTCCTCCTAGATGCTTTCATCCATCATTATCTTATAAGGCATAGGTACCTTTTTAGGAAAGAAGGGGGTTTTCAACATAACAATATCTTTTAAGGATTTGATTCCTTTGGTGGAATTAAATGAGATATAGTTAAACATTACGTTTATTTATTTCTGATGAGAGCAATCTTCAGTAATCTTTCTTAAAATTGGAAAGAATTTTATTTTGCCAAGATGTAAAATACTGTAAGATGCCCTCCATGCAGACATATAGGAAACAAAGGTGATTCCTCAATGACATTTAAGAATCAGAAAGAACTGTTGCAAAGAGAGGTATTTCATATTAACAGGTTGATGGCACTTCTCTAAGATCTCCACTGAATATTCAGGCAGAACAGTTGAAGTGCACTCCTCAGTTCTTTCCTACATCACTGCCCATGCAGTAGAGACAATTTTTTTAAAAGCCGAGTGCTTGCACTTCTCACTGAAGTCAGTGGGATCTTTTGTCTATAAATCAGTAAATGATTGATTAAAATATCTGAGATCTGTCTAAGACATGTACTGCCCAATTACACTAACTGTAAAATCTAAGCAAAGTAATGGGAAAAATGTCTTCCATGTGATCTTTTCCTGCCCTAAGAGCTACAGTGAAGGTCTGTTCCACAGAATACACAGTGGGAGATGTGAGCAAATACCCTGAGATATGGTTATAGTGGTTCATAAGAAAAAGCTCTTCATACATCCCTTAGCATGCGAAAAGAATCCACATCCTAGCTTGGATTAATTTTACCACAACAAAAAAACATTCTTCTGAGGACTATGAGATTATTCAGGCCAATGGGATGTTCATGTGGTAACAACAAAAATATATGTACATGAATTAAATGTGCACTTTTGCACTCACTTAACAGTGCAAAAGATAAAATCAGAATGGTAAAGGTGGCAGCAGGCCATCTGCTTTTCAAGCCATATCAACACAAGATTGCTGTATACTACAGAAATAGCTATGAAGGAGTTATTATTGCACACAAATACCCTGGCCAGAACCCTTACTATAGTGTTTAGGGAATAAAGAAGATTAGCAGAATACTGACCTAAAAATGGGGAGTCTTTTTCTGACCTCATGGCATTTTCATTTTGAGGATACACATAAGTCTTTTCCGATGTTAAGATTTCAAAATCCTGCTTATATGGTAGTTAAGCGAAACTTAATGGCACTAAAAGGTAAAAAAACCCAAAACTGGACAAAAACATTCAGGAGGAAAAAAAAAAAGGTTACCTACAGCATCCACTTTATTCTGTCTCCATAGACGGGGAACATCAAACACTTGCATGAACATCCCTTTCAAGTTAGCTATGACAACAGCTGCCAACACAGACTGTGAAGAAAAATAATGAAAAAGAGGTATTCAGAAGCAAAGATACATATTAAAAGATAGTGCTCAACAAGACACACTATAAACCACAGCCCTGTCTGGAATCAGATACCACAGTTTAAAGAGTGATATTAATGTTGCCCATCATAGTTGAGCATTTGGATCTGATGTGGCTGTGCTGCAGAAGAGTACAGTACCTTTTGTAAGGGCTCTAGCAATTTCCCCAGGGCAACAATAGAAATCAAAACGATGCCAGCTGAGATTATACCAGCAACCTGCAAAGAACAATGTTTATAGGAAATAAACTTACTACGAGTCTATCATCTGTTTCTAGGATTACAAAGAAAAAATTACAAACAGTTGCACATTACATTTCTTTAGGAACAGGGAGACCTGCCAAAGTGTTTAGGCATATGTGAGCAACCATTATGCACTTCAGCTAACACAGAGGGAATTCAATTAAGCAGGAAGTCTAAACAAACACAAGGTAGTAGCTCTTGAGGGGTAATGTTACAAAGACAGATGAATGGAGCAGTCTGTGTGTAAGCTGGAAAAGGAGCTGCTGGATAACCTGTAGTTTTTCACTGTTAAGAACCATACAGCTATAGTTTGGTAGTTTACTCAACATGATGAAGATGTTCCATGGCTGATGGTGAATGGCAAATGGCAGAGCTGCTCAGGCCAGTACTTAGGAGCTTAAAGATATCATAGCCAGCTGGGAGAGATTTTCTCCCACATCCTACTGTGATAAACTCAGTCCTCTAATTGGAAATGAAATTCTGGGGAACTAGAGTTAAAATATTTCCAACCCCTAAGGTCACTCATGCTATGTAAAAACTCGATTGCCCTCTTCTGGCAGAGCTACAGAAATGATTCACTACTAGAGCTGAGCTGCTAACATGGCTTTCCATGGGCCAGCAACACAATGATTTTAGGACTGTTTTCATCTCACGGTGATATCTATGCACTACACAAAATTAAATTTACCTCTGCACAGCCATAGTAAGAAGAGGTCATTACCTGAGTCTTTCCACCAGTACTTTCTTGGACTGCAGTCCGTGAAAGAGCAGTAGTTGCAACAAAACAAGAAAAGGCACCTGAAAAAATGTTGCTGAACCCAAAGGCAATGAATTCCTGAAAGATAATTGGATAATGCTGTAACTAAAGATGCCTGAAGACATTTTTTCAATGGAGAAAGACAGGTGCTTTTGCAATAGCTGAATAATATTAAGAAGAGTATGAATTAGTAATAGCAGTTAAATGTTTACACAAATGCCTCTTGTGCCAGTGCAGCTACCTCTGTTTGGAAACCAACACAAAGAAGCTAGTGTACGCCCCCTGAAGTGGACATACTTGTCTGAGTACAAAGGTGTTTAAAGCTTACTTCCACCAGTCTTACCAAACCTAACATTTCTAAGAATTACACTGGAATAATTGCATCAAGAAGAGGGTATTAGAATAAATTTAACTCCCAAGTATCATAAGCTAAACCAATTATTTTGATCAGTACAATAGTCTGAGTTTAGACAAGCCTTTAACTAATACAAAGCATTATATTATTAGTAGAAGTATTAAGGAACTTTGCAATAAAACAAAATTTCACTAAAAAGTTCTAGTTTGCTTAGTCAGAAGTTTTTCCACTCTAAGCATCCTGATGAACTAATGCTTAGTCTCAGGCAGAATTCTCATAGATTTGCCCCAGGGTCACAGATATCAGCACCTACTGATGCTGGTGTTTCTGCTCAAGTGACAAGGACCCTGGAAACTTTATGTCCTGGGATCTGGGCCATTCCTCTGCTGGGAAATAAAGAATTTGGGAGCTGTCTGCAACCAACCCCATATAATTCACAGAAATATAGTTTTCACCAAGCTGACACAGGTGCAAGAGCTTTTCACTCACTGGAAATTTCTAAAAATATAATTTAAGATTTGATTTTGGCTGTCTCCCTTCTTTTGTACATAATTAAATTTCCTGTAAAGTTTTCATTTAGCTCCAACCACAAGAGCAGGAACAAACCTAAATTATTCATGCCTATTCCTATGTAACTACTGTGACCAGTGACAAAATATTAGAGGTATAATTCCTAGTGTTCTTAGGCATTAATGATCTGGATCTATGAAGGCAATATAGACACTGGTAGATAACAGTATCAACATGTCCTTCAAAATTATTTTACTACCTGCTTTTATGAAGTTATTTTAACTCGTCCAGGTCAACTAAACTATTTGCCCATCACCCTGGGCTGCATTTAACTTTTGCTACATGTAAAATTCATAACATAGTACTGAAAGGAAGGCACTCTGCTTTTATAAACTAATTATTCTACAACAATATTTAATCAGTATCTTTGAAGCACACCACTACTGGCAGAACAAGATATTCAACAACAGAACAGCATAAACAGCATTTCTGGGATTATGTAATATTCCTTGAGATTTATTAAACTGAATGTTGGTGCATTTTAGTCAACTTTAGGACCAAGTGTTACCAGATATGACCTTTAAGGACTGCAAACTGACAAAGAGAAGCATAATTTTCTTATATACTGCAAAACAGTGTTTCTAAAGTCAAACTTTATGTAATCCATTAGTACTAAAATAAAGGACTCCTTAAACAAAGTACTCATCTTACACTATTTGTTGTACTGAGGGCATTTTCTAATATGCTCAAAGGATAAAATTAAAAATTAGCATAGATGCAGAATGAGGAAGCTTTCTGAGATTTTAATTCTACACCATGGGCAAGCAACATAACCCCTGGTGAAGACACTGAACAAATGCAGGAATCCTGTAAGAGCTTGTGATGCACAACTCATGTCACATTCTAGCTCTGTGCCCCTAGAAACCAATGCTTAAAGCAGTTCAGCCATTTAATGCACACAGCTACTCCAGCACATTCATATACTTGTAGGCACTAACTTTTGTGAAGCTGCAGGACTGATCTATTAGGTTACAAGTATAGTTATATTGATGTAACTGGTGTCATGCTGAGAAGTACAATAATTTATTAAATGTAAAGTTCAGCTGATTCAAATCCTGCATGAAGACTAAAGGTAAATAAAGCTGTCCAGAGCAGCTTCTTAGCTTGACATTGTCTTCATCTGCCTAAGCAACCCACCTCAAAATATGCCTTACAAGTGGAAATGGAAAATAGGTTGCTAGGCCATATCAACTTGACATCATCAGAAAATTCCCCTATACAGTGCTGAGCCCTTTCAGAGCAAAAATACCCACCTCAAAATGTGCCCTTGCAGTCACTAAACCAATACAGAAGGAATGAAATAGTATGTAAAGCCCATAGTGAAGCTGGATCTGGTTCATCTCGATGTGGCCATTTAAAATATTTTTTTTAAGAGTTGAAAGAATTTATCTTGTCAGACTTCAGTGCTTGTCCGAAAAATGTGTGTTAATGGTGTTTCTTTCATTTGGCTACATAAGTCAACATGTTTTACATTCACTATGTTTATAAACTATTTTGGATATACATACCTGGTTTCCATCAATAGCATAGTCATACTTGGTTGCATACACCTTCCCCACAGACACGGCAATAGCATAAGCAACAATAGCAATGGAAAAGGAGGCTGCAATCATCTGGGAAAACAGGCTGACATTTGGAGGCTCGGGAGGCAAAAATCTAGCATTTAGAAAATATATTGGTGTTACCAACTTTGAATTCTATTCTAACTGTCAAGGAGTTTGAAACAGAGGCATACAGGTTGCTTATAATATGGAGTGTAATGTTTCAAGTTAATAAAAGGTGGAAACAGCCCATTGACATACAGAACACGCTTATCTAGCTCACCCCAGCCCAAATCCTGATGCTATTAGTCAGCAACAAAGTTCCCATTGTTCTCAGCATGACTGAGATTTGGCCTTATGATAGCAAAGTGAAAAACTACATTTTTTTGAAGCATTGAATAAAGAATTTATTGACTAGTATTATGAATTACATAAATATGTTAATGTCATTTCATACTATTGTTAAAATATTTATTCAATAAAATCTCAGAAGCATTTTATCCCCTACTGTGTTTCCACAAATTTTAATTAATTAAGCCCTGAATACTAAATGGAATGTGAAGGTTACTACTGTGAAGTGCTCTGAATCTTTCAAGTGGAAGTCTCTACCAGTGTAATCCTTGCTCCTATGAGTATGGAAGTGACAAAGTTGATCGGGATAACAATAGCAGCATGATTATGAACCACAGTGGGATAACTCAGGATTACATAAATTAAATATATGCAGAATTTCTTTATTAAAAATCCTTATTTTTAAAAACCATTTTCCATAATCCTATAGTCATTTCATGAGCTGGAAGCAATTAATTTTCAGATGGACTTCATTAAATAGACAGACATTTAAAACCCCATTTTACAGAAGAAGGAAAGCTAAGAAACACATTTAGGTGATAGAGCCAGAAGTAAAACTCAGAAAATCTCCAGATCTGTGTTCTAAACTCAGGTTACAGCTCTCAATGTTTCTTTTATGCATTTTCCCTTACTACAGACATTTTTAGCCAATTAAAATAATACCTTTTCCCACAAAACAAAGACACTCACCCTCTTGGAATGCTCTTAACAATGCCTGCATTGTATTTTTTTTCCAAGTCGGTAGCATATGAAATGCCAGTGGCTACTATTGTCTGTAATAGAATAAAACAACAGTTTTAAGACTTAAAAAGAGTTTCTGTCTTCATGTAGCTAGACCCATCCATTTTATCTGTTTTCAGCTTTTGTTATGCCCCTTTGCTTACCACAATAACTTCTACTGGTATAGGTATAGGTATCTTGTGTTTGAACCGATCGTTTATTTCTTTAACAACCATGCAGACAAAAATGGTGAGGAGTCCAGCAATAAGATCTGCAATGTTGGTGGTCCCAATTTTTTCAAATGTTTCAACAAGAGTCTGAAAAAGAAAAATGACAACATAAAACATGCTCATGTCCACTTGAAGGATGTGCAAATACTATGAGATGATCCAGATGTACAGAGTTTTGGAGAAGGCCAAGTAACTTCATTCAAGTCTAGAGAAGCCTGAGGAAAAATGTATTGTCAAGATGATATCAGTAAATTGATTTAATAGTGAATTTAATGGGAAAAGCATAACTGCAAGAATTGTCCACATAGGGGGCTACTGCTTTCCAATTTTTAGTGAATTAATACAAAGTGAAAAGAGCTCTACCTGTGTTTTAGCTCTACCTGTATCAGAGCAAGGAAGGGAAGATCTGGAGTATCTTCACTTTGACAAACAGCAAGGGAGATCCTCATTTTTCTAAAGAGAGCTAGCAGACCCATGGGCAAAGCTCTGGTTCACTTCATGCCCAGTTCATGTGGTCTATGCCTTACATGGTTCCTATTTACACTGCTGACAGAGAATGAGTGTGAACACACAGGTCCTACCAGGCTGTGGAGAATCCTGCACATCAGAAAAGCAACAGAAAGCCCTCACTCTACAGTAAATTAACCCTCCCAGCAGAGTTCAGCTCCAGACTGGAGCACTCACACCATTCTCTACCCTTCCTCTGCCCTTGCTTGGTCATATTGTTTATTACAGAGAAAATTATTGTACAGAGAAAACATGAAGAGATGATTACAAAAAAGTCACAAATACTCCTCTGTCCTCCTCCTAAGCATCAGGGTAGTTCTCACTTGCCTCCTGTCTCCAAGAAAATGTAATTATTCCATGCATAGTGAAGTAGCTGTACCAGAATGATCTGGTAGAAACAGACTTCTTGCATCCTGGTTTGCTCCCCCAGTAGTGAGCTTTTGGTTCAAACGTTAGAGGAGGTTTGCAGCAGCACCACCAGTCCCACCCTTCTGAACAGACTTTGGTTTGGAAACACAACATCTAAGTGCTAAATTGGCTATGTCTTCTAAGCTAAAGAAGCCTTCCTGAAACACTGAATCGGACTTGGCTGACTGAAGCCATTTCTTGCCCATTCTAGTGTTTACCACGGATCCCATGAGACTGGCTGAGCACCTCTTGCACTGCTTCACTTCACAGGGAAACTTCCTAACTTTGGTTGCGGATTTTGCTAATGCTGGTTGGAAGCTTGGTGTTGCAGTTTGATGAACAACACTACTAAAGCAAGTCCAAAACTTGCTGAAGCAGGCATAGCAAATCATGGTTGAGCAGACCAGAAATAACAATTTCTTTGCTCTACATACACCTGGCCTGGCTCACCTGCAAGAACACAGAAGCTTTGAACTTTAACCTAAAATGTCAGCATCCCACATAGTTTTGCTCGGGCTGGAAGAACCACGTAGTCCTTTCAAAAAGTGTATTATACTAAATACTATTAATTCAACAAACAAACAGATGGAAAAATGCTGGATTAACAAGTCCCTCATTCTGACAGGTCTGCTGTAAGGTCTATTATACAACAAGTAGTTTGTCTCATCTAACTTTTCTTGTTCTGAGGGGAAGAGTTTTCATTAGTTCTGAAGAGGCCCATAAGGTAATAGTTTTTACCTGCACAAATAATTCTCCAGATCTCTTTTTGAATTTTTTTCCTTGCTGTTTATAGTTATATTCATCCTATTATTGTTAATCTAGATGTCTGCTGTATTTTTCCTAGTCTGGTTGCCAGAACTGGCATGCAAAATCTCCAAGTACTTTTTTTCCCCTAGAACAGCCTCTTTTAGAAATCTGCTATTCTAATATGAACTGCTATGCAACATCTAAAATACTGTGAACCTGGATAGTTTCATGCTGAAGCCAATGACACAACTGAATAATTTTCCTGGGAAAGGAGACTATTCTGTAGTACAAGACCTCTAGGAATTCAGTATTTCTGTAAGGCAGCCAAAATATTTCTCATTTGAACATTTTCTATAAAATCAACAAATGGATTTGTAACAGTCAGCCTCACATTTGCTAACCAAAAGGTACCTGGCCAAAGGGTGGGAATCTGTAACCTTTAGAAATTCACATGCATGGCTACAGTGTGAGATGGAGAATGATGCCCTTTACCAGAATGACCTGCTGTTTAAGTGTAAAGAGCCTTGGGACTGGCCAGGTTTGGGAGATGACCTGACAGGGTTAATAAATGATCAAATGTCCTTCACAATAAGCGAGAAAGCAAGGGATGGGATGAACTGTAGTCTCTAGAAGTGAAAAACTGTTTTGCTTGGTATTTAAACTTCATGTGAAAAAGTGCTCTGTCTGAAAAAGGCTTGAAGATGGCAGTCAGGCTTTCTGTCTGGGGAACCCCAAAGGCAGCAATTTAGAGCCCCACAGCTATAAATGAACAGCTGCAGATCTCCATGAAAGTGAGAATTAAAGGAATGTCCTATACTTACCACCATATATATGGACCATCCCTGTGTGATATGGAAACAGAAGACAAGCAATTATATAAAAATACTTGTCATAATACCAAAGCAGATTAGAAGAGCATACTTACATATATTATGGAAAGGACACCATTATAATTTTTAGTTGAAACATTCAGAACTATTTTCAGTTGTGACACAAGCACTTGAAAAGCAGCCGCAGTTGTGAATCCCCCAACTAATGGATCTGCAAGGTACCTCACAATGAAACCAATCTGGAGAACTCCAAATATAACCTGGAAAAATCATGAAGACTATCAGCTTGTTAAATTAAAAAAAAAAAAGTTACACTTTTATTTGGAAATTTCTTATGCTTTGTTTTCTCTCTTTGTTGATGCAAGTCTTTGGACCATATTTCCCCCATTTCAGCCTAGTGTAGCTTAGTACTGTCCATACAACGAAATAAAGGAGACCTGAAGAAATGTGTGAAAGGAAGCTCCAGGATATGCACCATTAGTACTCAGTTTCATGCAGGTTTTATGGTCTGCAATTGCAGGGCTGCTCTGCTCTCTGTGCTCCCAGTCATGCTGGCAGAGACTCTACACAGGATATGAAGGTCCTAAAAGTCTGTCATAACTTTCCTTGATTTTTGTGTTTTACTACAGGAAAATGTCTGATTGCTCTACTAGATATTTTTCTGCCATTAACATTAAAGTGGTATCAACCTTGTGTCTCCAAGTCAGCTATTTTACCTGTAAAATTCCAACCAGGAATGTGAGAGTACTTGCAATCAGCACTCTCTGTGCATCTCTGGATTCAGTGTCTATCAGTGCCCCTGTGACATTAGTCCCTGTAGTATTACTGCCTTCTATGAGAAAATTCTCATCAGGGGCCATGCTCAATACAACAGATCCCACCATCAAACTGACTACTGGGAATGGACCTGTAATGAAAAACAGAACACACTAAAGTTTAACACACATTGAAAAAAACCATTTATCAGACTAGACAAGAAATTCTAGGTCAGAAAAACCATGTAATATTGTAATTGGGGTACATTGGTAGTATTAGGGGGCCAAGAGCCACAGGCACTGCATAAATGAAACAAAAATACACTTTTTTGAAATACTGCTCCTTCTTTAAATAACTTATGTTGTACATACAGATACAAGTGCAGTTTCATGCTTTGCTTGAGCCAATTTAAGGTCAAAAGGGGCAACATGTTCAACACATTCCAACCATCTCCTTTGTATCAGCATCACAACCAGACAACACAGATCACCAATCCAGGTGAAAGCAACATTTATTTCTTTAAGTTTTAGGGTTTCTTTGTTTGCTTGTGTTTTTTGGTTGGTTGTTTTTTTTGGGTTTCTTTGTCATGGTTAGTTTGCAGCTGATCCAACGTGCCACATGATCAGGGTTCCCAACACCACAGCTGTGGCAGGAACATGATCCAATGGGTAGGAGCATATATTTTGGCAGTATTGTGCTATTACATTGGCTAAAGATGACTGAAACTATACTTTGGGCAAGATACAGAGAAAGTGATCATTGTGTCAGCAGAACACAATCTAAAAGTAACCATTATTTTTTGCAGTTATTTACTAAAATTATGCAGAAAAGAAAAATGTCACAAAACGTCTTATAGAAGGTTAAGTTAATTTTATAGATACCTTAAAGGACACACTGAATAAGAGCATTGGGGAAAGCATAAAAAAGGAGTGTTTGATAATCTAGAAAGTAGGAATGCCACCATAAGTTGAAAAAACAAGTCAGATCTGGATATCAAATGTAAGCTGCTTGGTAGGGTTGGAAGTGGCTAACAAAGTTGAGAAAACATACAGAGCCTTTGATGCAGCAGAGGAGAAAGTTGATGAAAAAATGTAGTATCATGCCAAAGCTCTGGGAGGGGAAAAAAATGTGTTCTTGGTAGATATCATGCTAGGAAAGACAAGATTAGATTAAAGAAAAAGGAACTTCAGTGACCAAGCTGTTAACAAGCACTTTAAATGTGAGAACTGACAGGGAAAAAACCTCATATTTTAAAGAAAGTATTCAGAAAGAATCAACAAGGGTTACCAATACCCTTGATGTGAGGACCTAGAGTGAGGCTGGAGTGGATACACAAGTTCTAGGTCTCCACGACTGGTAAGAAGAAGATACTGTCCACAGTAATGAAGAAAGGATGCAGCAAATAAGGCTTGTAGAGAAGACTTAAAGAGCTCTGTTTTAGCCATCTTGAGCTTTAAGTGGTAGACAAAATGTTTGTCATTCATACTGCCTACTGAGGCCTTGATCTTGCATAGAGTGTAGCCAAAGACAAGATTTAAACTTCAGCACAAATTCAAGCAAAAAGCACTGGCATACCTGAAGTTAGCCATTATGCATAATTGCCTGTATAAAGAAGAAATAAGCCTTCATTTCCTGAGATCCACCAGTATTAATATTCACCATAGCCAATTTGTTTCAGAAAGTAGTTATATTGTATGAAATATTAATGTCTGCAGTAAGGATTAACACTGTAATAGATAATTCACTGTAACTTGAACACATGCAGTTACCAACTGAGATGTGCCTTGATGTTCCCAGGAAAAAGTATGTCAGGATGGGGAAAAAAGCAGAATAGAGACCATATCCAACAGGGACTGCAACCAGCAAAGCATATGCCAAACCTGAAATGATAGATCATCAAAACATTACATTTAAAATCTCTCAGCAATCTACTATCTCATCTAGAACAGACTTTCAGAATGATGTACTGCTGTGGTCCAGATGCAGTTTAGAATGGTTTGTCTGTAAATCAGTTGCAGGCACAAATGTGAGTATCAATGACTGTAAATGACTGTATATCCCATGCTGGTAGCTGAGTGAGTAAATACCGGAAGATGTTCCTATGTTTGCACAGGTAGCCCAATACACAGGCTGAGATAGGAAATCTAACTGGAAAACATTGTTGCAAGAGTGTGTGCTTCTTGAGAGAAAAGGAGGATATGTGAAGGTTCTAGTTTCAGGCAGAATTTCAAGCACAAGACTCTGATTTATTGCACAACAAACATGCTTCAGTATCTTCAGCTCCTATGAAAATAGGGCCACTTCTTTTCCCAGTAGCAGTTTAAAATCTAATCTACCAATAGTAAGTCACATAAATTTCAGAATCTTGGTTCTTCTTCCTTTGCATACCTGTGCAAGCTGTCAAATCCAGCAAGCAATAAAAAAATTGCCTTCAAAATAATATCCCAGTTAGCCAGAGTTCTCCTTCAAAGATTCTCCAAAACCTCTCAGAGTTCAAACAACTGAAGTGCTGGTCATACTACTGTGACTGATTGGAGGATTGCAAGCAATGCATATAGTTGCTGGGAATTAGGGACTTAAGGGACCTCAAGATCCCAGAAGCTTCTTTTGCAAATATTTTGGCCAATTTTTCCTGTAATAAATATTATAAAATTTCAATTTTTTTAAAATTACAGTTAGGTATAGATTTACATTAATTTGGGTTTTTTCTCTTTTTTTCTACTTTTTTTTTTTTTAATGCACAGGAGGGAGATCAGACAGTATATTTAATAAATTGGTTTTACAAATGGATTCTAACTAAGATAAAATCAGGGCACTGAAAAAAAATTTAAGGTAGTTATAGTATGAGCACAATAGCTGTTATAAATAATATGAAAGGTCTGTCTAGCCCAGTTCATTTTAAAAAAGTACAGGGATCATGTAACTGTGCTACTACCTTCAGCAAAGACCTTCCAGCTCTGACACTCTTCTTTGGGAAAGAATCACTTTCTTTATTTCTCAGGTCACCTCCTGCCTGGGGCAGAAATTTGTAATGCTTTTTTTCTGCCAGTTTCTGCCTTCCTAGAATGCTCCAAGGGAACAGACAGGAGGGAATACTTGTGTCTAATCAGGAATGCGTAAACTGCTTCTTTGTTCCCAATTAAAATCTTTGTCCCCTTCCTCAAACATTTAATTTCCATTGAAGGAAAATGTGGGGTTGACACAGCTCGTATTGCCTGCTGCAGTCCCCAAAAACTGTGAAAATAGTGTAAGAACTCTACTGAGGTTAAATTACTGGATGTATCAAGGCTATAGTCAGTCTTGTGGCAGACAGATGCTACCTCAGGCAGGATGGTTCTGCTCTCTAAGTCTTCTTTAAGTGGCTTATTTGAACTAATTTCTGCTTATTTCTGACACTTTCATATTTGTTCATCTACTGAAAGCTTTACTAATAAATGGAATAAGGAAGTAATGAAAACTTAATATTGCAAGCCATCAAGTTTAATTTTTTAAAAAATGTGACTACATCATCACCTCCTTGAGGGTTGTCTTCTGCAGAGACCTGAACAACTTTATAAGATTAATTTTAAAGAGGAGTAGATATCAAAGTTACATTATTTTAAGGGAGCAAGTAAGTAGATTTTTGTAGGCAGTTCCAGAAGAACTTAAACAACGAAGAAAGAGAAATAGGACCACACAACCTATCTGATTTATCACTATGTAATTAAAATGTTAAATATCAAAATAAATACTCTTTGAGTAAAACGCCTGGAAGAAAAGTTAAATACATCTCTATAGCACATCACAGGAAATTTAAATCTTCTAGCCAAGGAAAGAAAAAGGAATAAATTAAAACCATAAATTATTTATTGCAAAATAATACCTAATATCTAGTATTAAATAACAAGCCTCAGATTTGTAATTCCATCTGCATAACGTCCCGGTGTTCAGCCGGCTCCCTAATAGGGACGTCCTGGGGACAGAGCGCGGGCGTGCCCGGCTTTACCTTGCAGGGTGGCAACGAGGCCGGTGCTCAGCCCCGAGATGATGTCGCTGATCAGCCACTCTTTCACCCGGTAGTTGGGCAGCCACTCCAGGATGGGCAGAAAGGACTTGGCAAGCTGAAAGGCCCGTTTCCTTGAACATCTGCGAGAAAACAAGTGATGAACACACCCCACGGAGCTGCAATTGGAGCGCCTCGAGAACCCCAAAGCGACAGCGAGCTGAGCTGATGCACATTTAAATTTAAGGGACGGTGACTGTCACAGCCCTGTCTTCCGGACGGGGACGGGGCACGCACTGGTTCAGGAGCGCGCTCCCGGAGGAAGCGCGCCGGGGCAGCGGCGATGCGCAGGGAGCAGGGATGTGGCCGCGCGCAGTCCGGCGTGCGGGGCGCTTCATCCCTCGGCAGGTGGAGTTTGCGGCGCGCCCTCCGGCGCCCCCGGCTCCCTCCCGCCGCTCGGACCCACCTGCAGGCCGCCTGCGCCCGCTCGCGGAGAGTGGGCGGCAGCGGCGGCCGCCGCTCGTTCTCCTCCTGGAAGCCGGGCTCGCTGTAGATGGGCCGCGCCACCACGTAGTGGCTGAGCTCGGCCGGCGGCTCGCTCGCCCGCCCGCCCGCGGCCATGGCCCCGCCTGAGCCGGCGGGCGGCGAGCGCGGCCCCCTGCCGGCCCCGCCGCGCCCGCGGCCCGCAGCGCTGTCCGCGTCCTGAACCGCGGCTCTGCCCGCGCCCGCTCCCCGGCCTGGGGCAGGGCGAGCCGGCCCCGCCGCAGCCGCATTTATACGGCCGCCCACGGCCCGACGCTTTATTTACGGGGAAACAGAGAGACCCGGCTCCGGGCCGGCCCGGGCGACGCCTCCGTCCGCCCTCCCCCCGGTGCCCCCTGGTCAGCCCCGCTCCGGCCGGCGCTCCCGCCCCGACAGCGCCCGGCCCCTCGGGCGGGGGCTGCACTTCAAAGGCGGCGGCCCGCGGGCAGGAGTCGGGGAACGACTCTGGGGCTCGGAGCGGGGCTGGCCGCACGCACACGCACCCCGCCGACAGGTGATGGCCTCTGGCCCTCAGCAGCTGCCCGCAGAGCCACCTGCCCGCCGGCGGCCGGCCCAGGTGCTCGCTGTTAAGGCGAGCCTGAGGGAGCGAGATAGGACCAGCCACTCTCACACACTGTTTGGCCCGCATAGGAGCATCCTTGCAGCTCCCAAAGCCTTGCTGCATCCCATGACCCAAGTTTTGGGCGTCGTCTCCACGCATAGATATAAATGCCTAATTAACAGCACCTGCTCTCTAAACCGTCCCAAGCTCACGCAGGAGCCTCGGTGGAAAGAAGTGGCTCAGACACCACCCCAAGTTCTTTGCGTCACATCTGAAAGGGAAGAAGGTGGCCCAGGGATGCAGCTTCTGGTTTGCTGAAGGAGGCTAGTAGGGAATGAGTTTCTTGGCAGCCCTGCTGTAATTTAGGATTACAGATAGGATTGGGGCTGAAAAAGTCAGTCCTGCATGCTGAATACTGCTGGCTACATTTCAGCTCTTCTACCTTACATATGGAAGACAACCTAGATCTTTCAGGAGTGAAGCAAAGCACATGTCCTGCTCACCTCACTTCTTCCTAAAGAATCAGTACCAGTGTTTCAGCCAACACCGAAGAGGTGCTGAGGGCACGTATTGAGGGTACAGCATCAAGCAAAATATTTGTTCAATGAACTACTCAGGCATAAAATTGGTTTCAAAGCCATTAAGTACAGTCCTAACTTACTAAAATGGAAAGAAGCTATTTGCAGAAATATTTTTTGTAGGGTTAACACACCTCAGGTTTCCTAATTCTGCAACTAGCTTTCCCCTCTGCTGCACTGTAAGGAAATCTGAGTTACTGCTGAACTGTTTTGATCTGAGCAATGTTGTATCCCGCAGTGAAGCAGCCAGCCTCCTAAAACAAGTTCCAGTGTTTTGTAGAAACCTGTAAGCACAGCACTCGTGTCAGTAAAAGCTGCCTTGTTCCAGAGGAGCAAACGAAGTGGTCTGATGTAAATGTTACTTAATCCAGGGTAGGAAAGCTTTCAGATTTTCTCATCAGCAGATAACAGTATGGGGAAATAGACATAATATTGGAAAAAAAAGACATATTAGACATATTCTAAAGCACATACTGAAAACTGAGCTAGCATCAAACTTGAGTAATGTATTAGGTTAGAATCCAATCCAGATAAAAATGGAGCACCATGAAAAGCACTTTTGAAAACTAACTTTAAAATGTTGTTGTTGGAGATTTACACTTCACACATAAACCCAGTTTTCAAGACTGGGTGTTTATTACATATTATTTTCTCCTAGAATATCCACAAAACTACATTTATCTTATTCCTTATATAACTAGGATTTTAGAGGAGAACTGCTTGATATCATGAGGAAGAGACATAGTACTGAACAAATAATTAACATAGAAAGGCTACAGTCAGAAGAATTTGAATCGACTGTAACTCACACTCCTTGTAAAATTGTTTCCTGCAGCACATCTGCCTGAAGAGTCTCCAAGCTTCAGCACCTCAGGTGATGAGATGTGATAGGAGCACCTGCAGATGTTGGATAGATAAGAGCTCTGCAGGACCAGGAATATTGGCAGAGCAGAAGTATGAAAGTTCAAGGACAAGAGGTTTCAAGGAAAAAAAAATGTCCATCAGTGTAACACAATGCATTTACCAGAATTTGAAAAGACAATTATTTGAGAAGAGACTAAAGACCGTAAACCCTTGCTCAGAATGGGTCCCATACACAGAGACACATCTGTGTCAAGTCAGATGCAATGTGTTTCTGAACTGTGATGTTGCTGACCCCACTCAGGATGCATCTCCCTTCCTTTTACTTTTCAAGCCAGAGGGCAGGCTCTTAGTTTTTCATTTTTCAACTTTAGCTTTTTTTTTATTTGGTTGGGGTTTTTTTGTGGGTGGGGTTGTTTTTCTGTTGTTGTTGCTTTTTTTTTTTTTGTGTGGACAGTCTTTTGTTGTTTTCTCAGGGGAAGGGTGTTCAGGTATTTTTTATCTTAAAATCTGTATTAGTCCTTTGAATACTTTTGTTTACCTTATTATTTGCTATTATTTTCTAGTTAGTTCATGTTCACTTTGTACTTGGTATGAAACAAACAACCTAGGACAGATACACAGCCTGTTTCCAAGACCCCTATTTCACTGTATGCTCTGTTTCCTTAGACCTCTATTGCCCAAGTCCTGTCTGGAGAAGAATCAAAGCCCAAGATTTTGAGCTTATTAGCCAAGAATAACAGTTCTTCTCTTCCTTCCTCTCACATTGTCCATTCCATAGCCTGTTAAACTCACAAAAAAAGGAGTAGTTTAGCACCACCTTCCATAGTCACAGGAACAGGGATTTTAACCTTATACTTAGAAAGATTTAGCATATGGTCTCATCAACTAGGTGAGAAGTTACTACACTGTCTGCAAACACAATTATCACCAAAGCTACTGCCTCTTCTGGTTCAAAAACAAGTCAAATCAGGCTATACAGACAGTCTGACCTCAAGCAGCAGGATAAAGGGTTAAACCAATAGCTATTTATGTCAAGAGTCTTGCTGACATGCTTTTATGACAGCAGTAATTGGTGTCAAATTTCTAGATGAAATTTAAAATTTGAAGTTTTTCAAATTTCATTTGAAAGATCCTTCCCATATTCATGTTCCCTGGTAGTTGGTTTTAGCATCTCCTCCCTTCCAACAGACACACTACAACTAATATCTAACTCCTACTCATCACTAAACATAGTGGGGAGGTTCCCACTTGCTAAACCCTGGTGCACCCAAGTATGTTTGAGAATCCAAACATCCCAGATGCGCTTCATGCAGACCAAGAACACCTTCACACAGTCCTTTTAGCATCTTTAGGAATCTTTTAGCATGTACAGTCCTGGGCTGTATTGTCTGCTTCCCTCTCTGCTTAGGTCTCCCAAAGCTAGAGACAGAATAGCAAAATCTTTTCAGGGCACTTGCCCTTGCAGGTGGTAGAAAAACTTCCTTTGGACTACAGCTGCATTTCAGAGCGGACACAAAATTTGTTTTCCTCACAAACACACCTTGCAATGCTTGTCCCTATTTGTACATTACCTCATAAACAAATCACAAGTGTTACATTTTCTAATAGAAAATAAAACCGTTCCACATTATTCCTGAACTGCTCAGTTCTAGAACTATGTTTTCAGTCATTCCACAATTATATGCACACAGCAATAGGCAGCACAGAGTACTGAAGGACAGGAATGACATAACTGAGCTGATTTTCCAACTTATCTGTAAAATGACTTGTATTAGGTTGTAACAGGACACAGATTACAGCTGTCAGGAGGATAAGCACTGCCAGCCAAAGGCAAGGCAAAATGAGGGCTTCTGTCCCAAAGAATAAATTCAGAATTTCAAGGAACACTTGAGAATTGAGGCAGTCATATAGTACTTTTACAGTAACTTCACATTTGGAAAATCAAATGTTATTTCAATGCTGAGTGAAAAGCTGAGCTTTCACCCTTTACAAGAAGCTAGGAAAGCACAATCTTTTTAATGAGGCTATGTAGCCAGGGACTACTGTGGCAGCAAACACACATGGAGTGCTAATGCAAGGGTACATTTTCAGAAAAGACTCTGCACAATTTTTGTTATTAAGGAAGATGCACTGTCATATGTTTGTTGCAAAAATAAAAACAGGGAAAAAACATCCTGCCTAGCTACAGGTGCTTTCATTTAAGGTAACACCAAAGCATGCAGCCAGGTCTCTTGATATTCAGGTCAGCTCTCGTGCACCCACCATGACCTCACTGCTTTCTTGACTCAGCAGAAAAAGGGGTTTATGAAAAAAATATGAAAACACCCCTCAAATTTTTTTTGAATGCTACTTTCAGTTAAACCTGTGCAAATATTTTTAGAATAATCTCTCCCTCACCAAAATATGGAAAATGCACATTTCTACTTTTGTAAAGAGAGAAAAAAAAAGGCTCTGAAACAACCAGGCAATTACTTTAACATTATTTAGAGTATAAAGAGCTCCAAATTCTTACTTTTGGAGACATACTCAGAATAAATTAACTGTCTAACATGAGTACAAAAGTTATTTTGATTCCACCAGTATTAGTGGAGATTTAACTTCTTTCCACTTCTTTCCCACAAGGCACATGTGACCAAAATGTGACCCAAGAGCCTGAAAGATGAGGAGATAAAAACATGAAATTTTGACTCATTTTTTCCCTGTATATCAACCATCACTTAAAACATTACCAGTGAGAGAACTGTAGTTAAAGCTGAACAACCCAGACTCTCACAAGCCCTTAAAGCATATAATGCAAAACAATGCAAATGCAAAGTATTCACAAGGATTTGCCATCTACTAGAATTTCCAGATATACTATTTAGACTTATAATTTTACAAAACCCGTGTTCTTTCCAAGAATAGAGTTCTACATAGCAGAACCTACAAAATAATTTTAATCTGAATAACAGAAGATTATTTTTCTGTGAACAAATCCAGGACTCCAAAGAACTGGAAGTGTGATAATGCAACTCAGTCAAATGTGTGTGACCATCCACAACAGACAAGTACAAAAATTATGATGGTCACGCTCTGTGACATGACCATAAAACCTGACGAAGGATCCAA